ATGCATTGAGATGACGTCATCAAATTGTTGGTGGGGATGATCAGCCAAATTTTGGTTAGCGTTTAATTATCTCATGATATTTCTAATATACATACAAAATTTGACAATAATCCGTCCAGCAATTTCAGAGAATACGTGTCTAATAAAAATTAATATGAATCCCAGACACACAGACAGACAGAGTCGGGGTAGTCTGTGTTTAGAGTTAAACAATGTACCATAATAATCTATATTTTCGTTTAAAAATTGTATTCAAAATTTAGTCAAAATTTTCTTAACACTCAACTTATTCATATAACTGATTAAAGTACTACGTACCGACAGACGTATAGTAATGCCCCGCAAATAAATTATCTAGAAACCGAAAGTGTGTTTCAATACTCATTTATAATTTTGTGTTGAGATTTCAACAAGTACATGTCTCATCAAGTCATCAATTAAAATTCAGATAAAATCGAAATGATACGGTATAAGATCCGAACCTAGCATTGCGTTGCAGAGAACACATTGAGAATTCGTATTTGTTATTAACTACACTTCTGGGCTTGTGATTTAATATGATTGATCCTGCACTGATTACTAGTACAGATCGGGAGTTACACTGGATATCCGATCCACATGACCGGACTTGCTCAACGTAATAGATTGCAACTGGATATCCAGTTACAAAGATCTCCATGTACAAGTAAAATGTCAAATAGGAAACTCGAGTCATCCTGATATCGGAAAACTAATTATCTAAATTTGTACTTTCAAAAGTGAAAAATATTCTGTTTTGGTTACTTTATAGTCTGTTACTAGGTGATCGAAACATGCCGATTTCCTCCTCGACGTTCGTGTGCGCCAATGTAACCAACAATTATTATTGTTATTAGCAGGAACACAGTTGTTCATTTTGTGTATTAGATTCGCTTACTAAAACTATCTAAACTTATCAAAATATTTTCCTGTAATCTGGAAATAATACAAATAATAAGTAGGTACAACAGAAATATTAAACTTCGGATGCGACAATTCTGCCTAAAGTAGTTTGTACACTAAAATTAACCATTGTATTAGAGAAATATTTGTAACTAACATTAGTTCGTATCCTTTAGTAAGATCGTGATCTTGCCAACCAGGAAAGACTGTGGTGAGCGAAGGAAAAATGTGCAGCAGCCGTGGGAATCAAACCCACGTCTCCCACTTGCCGGCAGGTGCCTTAGACTATACGGGCTGCTTATCTTCCTCGCTTACCAACTTGTCATGGTGCGGCCACAATTTCAGGGATTTTTGTGTATAATTAATTTTAAAAGATTTATTGGAAACATATATATTTATCGTGTAATGTGATTTTAATTTCGTGACACTGTTTGGAGCTTATCAAAAAAAATTGGTAGAAAGTTGTTTCGACAGAACTTCTCTCGCTCCTAAAGTACATATAAATATCCAAGATTTTCGAGTTGAGTTTTTTCTTTACACAAAGTGATGACGTCAATGACATTTTTGTAAGGACACGTATATCAACTTGGATAGGTACTGTATAATACTAAAAATAACAGTACCGTAACCCCAAAATTTTCTGGGAAAATGGAGTGAACCGTTCCTGATTTAATCAATAAACTAATTTACCTCATTCGTTTATTCATCATTTTTTTTAGCCACCTATTTACGTACATCTAAGAATATGAATGTAATGATTAATCACAAATAAAAACATTATATTTTGCACATTTTGGGTCGAATTTATTCGGCAAAATGTTGATGACATCATCAATATTTTGGAGGAGATTAGCAAATATATTTTGATTCAAAATTTATCATGCTTATCATAAGTTTAAAGCATCTGCAAGATTTCAAAGCATTCAGTTTTGCAGAATCAAAATTAAATTGCAAAATGTTGTTTTATGAGTTCGATTTTTTTTCCAAAAATCTTTCGTGTAAAAGCTCAACACGAAGTCATAAACTAATGTGTAGGACTATGTTATTTTATGCAATTTAAAATCCATTTACTATGAAGTGACGTCATCATATTATTGATGGGGTTAATTAAACAAATTTTGGTTAGCGTTTTACCATCTACATGATAATACAAATACTTATAAAATTTGACAACAATCGGCCTAGTATTTTCGGAGATTATATATCTAATAAAAGTAGGGACGACAGACGGACGGACAGGCGGACAGACACACGGAAAGTCGGACAGACGGAAACAGAAGACCTATTTCTTCCTACTCTTGGGGTCATGGAAGGTCGAGAAAATTTAAAAGTAGAGAGTCGGCTAACGGATTCGATGACAATATTTCCTTCGCTAAAGCTCGAGAAATAAAAACTACTTAGACCCGAGAGTAACCTTCATGATTCATGAACTGCAACGTATTTTCGTTAGGTACCTCTGGAATAACACAGTGTTCTGTAATTAACAGATGGGACGTTAAAAATGCCCTCTTGTGGGGATTGGTGCTCCACAGATTGATAATGGGATAGCTGATTAACAAACGACACGTCCAGATCTTCCCCTACGGAAATCGAAGGGACTTATCCTTAAACCGATGGATATTCAAAGTTAGATCTATATGCCTTGATATAAATTTCTATTGTAGCAGGGTCTCTCGGTACTGGGTAGGTTACCATTGATCTCTTCACAATGTCCTTTTTCCTTTTACACTTTTTGTAAAAGCATAGTGTCTGTTGGTAGTTCCAAACATTAGTAATTGTGCTAAAGCATATTACTCCTTAATCATATATTTAGGTTTTTGGACACAGGCCGGAGTTTTTCTTTTTTCATTTTTAACTCAGTCTAGCGTACTCAGTGCAACCGGCCAAGCATAGTAGAATTGATGGACTCAATCCCTGAAGGCAGGGTAAATCCTTTACCTCCGATTTCCTTGAACCAAATATCAGGGAACGTATACTTTGTGGTGGGAGGTTGTGATCCAACGGGCTTTTTTCCATTTGGTGGGACATTTGTCAAAATTTGAGTTTTGCAAATAATTGTTACATACCTTGCAACACACTTATAGAACGTTCAGTTCTCACCATTCTGCATAAGCTCAACTGATACCAGATATTGTAGATCACATTTCACAAGATTTATCTGAAGGCCTTCCCTCGCCTACTGCACTCACATTGTAGCTGTTTGCCACCGTACGCACCTACCACTAAATTATAAAATACACATTCAGTTCATATGTCCACCTTGAGACGACAAAAAATGTAAGAGGAAAGCAGATTCTTTGCTTTTTTAGTCTTTTCTTTTCTTGCAATTTTTATATCAGAGTTTTCCATTAATAATAGTTACTTGTGTGCGAACATGTTGCCCTTGTGATAGGCAACCAGCAATACACCGCTTAACCAGTACACGATTGGTCGACACACCGATGTATAACCACAAGAAGCTCACCGACAAAGCAACAACTTCCACTTTCTCGATTCAAGCACCGTCGACTATGGTAGCAAATCCACTAACTTGTACTCGTATCAACAATCCGTGATTGACCTTCGATACCTGCATCAATCAGACCTTATACGCAGTTGGAATTGATGATAATCCATCTGCATGCAGATCACTGTGTTGAAATTATTCAAAGCTCTGTATGATATACATCCTTCCAAAGAATATTTTAATTGTAAATGTTCAATATTATTATAGTATCCCAAGACCGATACATTTATTGAAGGCATATTATTAATAATAATAATAACAAGCTGTCTTATTTTCGTATCTTTACACGTCAAGATTTTGCTGGACACAAAATATCGAATCAATAATGTTTGTATTTTTTTTAAGTGAAAATGGGAACACCAAACGGGATGCAAACTGTACTGCGTTCGGCGTTACATCAGTTTTAAACATAGTGTTTCATTTTAAAGAAAAATGATACTACAAAAATATTTACATCTACCGTTATAATATTATTTTTAAAAGAACATGTTAATAGGAACCAACAAAATAAAATAAACATGGATGCAATGGGCTGTTATACGGTAATAACTGGAGCAAATTCTAAATCTGAGCCTGTTTTGTTCGTGTGCCAATATCGATAAAACTTGGAATGCGAAAATCGGGATTGTGTAGAGATAAGGCCTCTTAAGACATGTGGGAAATGTCCGATTACGAATAAGGGTGCCTATTCAAACCTTTACCAGTCCGGTCGCTGTTGGTCCTATTGTATCTCCCACAGTGTCACTCTAAAGGTTTAAACCCTATCCTCGACGAAGTGTATTTGAGGATTTTATTGAGAAGGGGAAAATTGAAAAGCATGAAAAAACGCCTGTAAAATCCACGTACTTTGCTAGGAAACAGCGCTTATTTATGAAAATGAATTGCTTTGCAGTCGCTATTTCAGCTTATTAAAGTTTAGTAAAAACTTTTAAATTTGTTTAATTAAGTTTCATGAAAATTTAAGAGAAAACTATTAACTAGGAATTAAATTTTAATAACGAGAAAATATTGATAGTGTTATTACGAAACTTGAACTTTCGAGGAAGAGAGGTTCTTGTTAGTTTGCAGAATTATTTACTACTAAATTATTTTTGCTTTACAAGCAGCTTTAAAAACTGTTTCATTTTGATGAAACAAAGTTCTTTACAATGAATTTACAAGTCCTAGAATAGTTATAAAATTTCCACAGTCACGTTTGAGTGCAATTCGTCTCCGTCGCAGCGTGATATAAAAACATTTTTATTCGCATTCTAAATGCACAGTCAAACTTTACAAGACAAAGAGAAAGCACCATCTGCTTGTATAATTTTTATAAATTTTTTCAAGACAAATATTGTTGTAGGTATATATAAAGCAGCTGGCTATAGCCGTGAGTTATTCATAAAGTGTAGGATATGGTTGAAGCTTTGAAATTTGCGTTTGATTGAAATAATATAAAAATTCGCCCAACTTCTTGTAGCAAAATTAAATGGAAATTTTATTCTTTGAGGCTACTGTTATGATGTAATATTTCAGCAACTCAAAGGAAATTAAATCCAGTTTTTACTTAACAAGCAAAGAATAATTTAGTGACTTGGTAAAACTAATTTATTCATCTAATAAGGAAATCATATCCAACAGCCCATTTCCGTCTTCACAATCTGGATATAAAGAGCCACAATTAACACCATACTCTCCGGCTTTCTTCGCCTCTAAGTATACCGGATCTAGATCTGGATCCGTTTTGCCGTCACCGTAGTCTGGTCTGTAATTGAAACCTATTTGTAACAAACTTGAAGTTTACTTGAAATTTGTCGATAACACTCGAGATCTTACGTTAAGGCTATGTGAAGGAGATGTCCGTAGAGTCCATTAGCTTCGTGATTGAGACTATCCATCGCGTTCTCGCAAATGCTGCGGAGAAGACATGCACGTCCGTTAAGGCCATTTCTAGAACAAATTGAAAACTATTCTTACAGTACAACAAAAAAGTTTTGTACAAGTAAATGCGCCGCTTAAGAGTAACTGTTGGATATAGGGGAGATAAATTTATAAATAACATAATAATAATATTAATATTAATAATAACAATATTTATTACATGCTGTTATCGTAACATGATGTGAATTAAATTAGAAAAAATTGGTCTAAAGAGTTTAGACAGTACTTCCCTCGCTGTCGGAAACTTGACGACTGCATGCCTATTGTGTTTTTTTTCTCATTACATTTTTGTAGTGGGAATTTAAAAAAAAATTGCGATGACGTCATCAACATTTTTGCAAGGACACGTGTATCAGTTGGGATAGATGTAGTGTAATACTAAGAATAAAATTATTATATTCTCAAATTTTCGGGAAAATGAATTGGGTCGTTTGAATATTGATTTGTAATAATCAATAAAATAACGAAACAATTTACTCACGTATACCTACGTATCAGAGGCAACTGAAAATCGTGTATGTATAAACATTGTTAATTTAAGATGACAGGCGTAACAGCATACGTGAGAGCCAAACACAGAAACTGTAAACAAAACGACCGTCGGTTTTATTGCTTCGACTTCCGCTTATTATATAAAACATTGGGTTTTATTTTAATTCTTGACGGTGAAATTCACAATTGGTTGATTATAAACATGTCTATTTCACATTCGCGGAATCAAGTGAACGCATAAAACAAATGCAGGTCTGTAATGTTAAAGTCGATGTAAATAAGCGTGCTACCCTTATGTTTCAACCGAGTTTTTCCTTTAACAAATTTTGTGTCTACCAAATTGGGTTGGTTGGGGTGTAATACTAATAATAAGTGTTGCCTTTAATTTAATCAATAAAATAAATTGACTTCATTAATTTTTTTGAACCACCTCTTAAGAAAATCTAAAAAATATGAATGGAATGATAAATCACAAGTACAAACTCATCGTATTTTTTGCATTTTAGATAGGATTTATTCAGCAAAATTTAAGGGTGACGTCATCAATTTTTACTTCCCGAGCGTAAGCAAAGGAAGTATTGTAATCGAGTCCGTCGGCCGACTCTCTACTTTTACGTTTTCTCGATCTTTCATGACCCCTAGAAGACGAAGAAATAGGTCTCCCATTTCCGTCTGTCTGTCCGTCTGTCCGTCTGTCCGTCTGTCCGTCTGTCCGTCTGTCCGTCTGTCCGTCTGTTGTCACGGATTTTTATTAGACAGATAATCTCCGAAAGTACTCGACCGATTGTTGTGAAATTTTGTACTTATATTAAGAATATCATGTAGATGGTAAAACGCTAACCAAAATTTGTCGAATCATCCCCACCACTAAAGCGATGACGTCACTTCAAAATTGTACATAGTAAATGGGTTTTCAATTGTATAAAATAACATAGTCCTACACATGTAGTTTACAACTCTGAATCGACTTTTCACCCGAAACGTCCAGATTTTTGGAAAAAAAATCAAAATTATAAAACAGCATTTTGAAATTTAATTTTTAATCTGCTAACCAGAATGCTTTGAAATGTTGCAGATGTTTTAAGGCTATAAAGAGCATCATAAATCTTTAGTCAAAAAATATTTGCTTATCCCCTCCAAAAACTTGATGACGTCAGCTCAAAAGTTTGTGGAATAAATCATATCTAAAATGTACAAAATATGATGAGTCTGTACTTGTGAACTATCACTCCATTAATATTTTTTGGATTTGCATATACAGGGTGACTCAAAAAAATTAATGAATGCGTAAATATATTTTATTGATTTAATCAGGAACTACAAAACCGAATGCTCTGAAATCTTGCAGATGTTTTAAGGTCATAAAGAGCATAATAAATGTTTAGTCAAAATATATTTGCTTATCCCCTCCAAAAACTTGATGACGTCAGCTCGAAAGTTTGCCGAATAAATCATATCTAAAATGTACAAAATATGATGAACCTGTACTTGTCATTTATCACTCCATTCATATTTTTTGGATTTGCATATACAGAGTGACTCAAAAAAATTAATGAATGCGTAAATTTATTTTATTGATTTAATCAGGAACTACAAAACCGAATGCTTTGAAATCTTGCAGATGTTTTAAGGTTATAAAGAGCATAATAAATTTTTAGTCAAAATATATTTGGTTATCTTCTACAAAAAACTGATGACGTCAGCTCAAAAGTTTTCCGAATAAATCGTATCTAAAATGTACAAAATATGATGAGTCTGTACTTGTGATTTATCATTCCATTCATATTTTTGGATTTGCATATGCAGGGTGACTCAAAAAAAATAATGAAGGCGTGAATTTATTTTATCGATTTAATCAGGAATTACAAAACCGAATGCTTTGAAATCTTGGGAATATTTTAAAGTTATTATAAGCATGGTAAACTTTTGTTCAAAATGTATTTGTTCATCCCTCCTAAAAAAATTGATGACGTCACCCTTAAATTTTGCTGAATAAATCCTATCTAAAATGCAAAAAATACGATGAGTTTGTACTTGTGATTTATCATTCCATTCATATTTTTTAGATTTTCTTAAGAGGTGGTTCAAAAAAATTAATGAAGTCAATTTATTTTATTGATTAAATTAAAGGCAACACTTATTATTAGTATTACACCCCAACCAACCCAATTTGGTAGACACAAAATTTGTTAAAGGAAAAACTCGGTTGAAACATAAGGGTAGCACGCTTATTTACATCGACTTTAACATTACAGACCTGCATTTGTTTTATGCGTTCACTTGATTCCGCGAATGTGAAATAGACATGTTTATAATCAACCAATTGTGAATTTCACCGTCAAGAATTAAAATAAAACCCAATGTTTTATATAATAAGCGGAAGTCGAAGCAATAAAACCGACGGTCGTTTTGTTTACAGTTTCTGTGTTTGGCTCTCACGTATGCTGTTACGCCTGTCATCTTAAATTAACAATGTTTATACATACACGATTTTCAGTTGCCTCTGATACGTAGGTATACGTGAGTAAATTGTTTCGTTATTTTATTGATTATTACAAATCAATATTCAAACGACCCAATTCATTTTCCCGAAAATTTGAGAATATAATAATTTTATTCTTAGTATTACACTACATCTATCCCAACTGATACACGTGTCCTTGCAAAAATGTTGATGACGTCATCGCAATTTTTTTTTAAATTCCCACTACAAAAATGTAATGAGAAAAAAAACACAATAGGCATGCAGTCGTCAAGTTTCCGACAGCGAGGGAAGTACTGTCTAAACTCTTTAGACCAATTTTTTTAGGAGGGATGAACAAATACATTTTGAACAAAAGTTTACCATGCTTATAATAACTTTAAAATATTCCCAAGATTTCAAAGCATTCGGTTTTGTAATTCCTGATTAAATCGATAAAATAAATTCACGCCTTCATTAATTTTTTTGAGTCACCCTGCATATGCAAATCCAAAAATATGAATGGAATGATAAATCACAAGTACAGACTCATCATATTTTGTACATTTTAGATACGATTTATTCGGAAAACTTTTGAGCTGACGTCATCAGTTTTTTGTAGAAGATAACCAAATATATTTTGACTAAAAATTTATTATGCTCTTTATAACCTTAAAACATCTGCAAGATTTCAAAGCATTCGGTTTTGTAGTTCCTGATTAAATCAATAAAATAAATTTACGCATTCATTAATTTTTTTGAGTCACTCTGTATATGCAAATCCAAAAAATATGAATGGAGTGATAAATGACAAGTACAGGCTCATCATATTTTGTACATTTTAGATATGATTTATTCGGCAAACTTTCGAGCTGACGTCATCAAGTTTTTGGAGGGGATAAGCAAATATATTTTGACTAAACATTTATTATGCTCTTTATGACCTTAAAACATCTGCAAGATTTCAGAGCATTCGGTTTTGTAGTTCCTGATTAAATCAATAAAATATATTTACGCATTCATTAATTTTTTTGAGTCACCCTGTATATGCAAATCCAAAAAATATTAATGGAGTGATAGTTCACAAGTACAGACTCATCATATTTTGTACATTTTAGATATGATTTATTCCACAAACTTTTGAGCTGACGTCATCAAGTTTTTGGAGGGGATAAGCAAATATTTTTTGACTAAAGATTTATGATGCTCTTTATAGCCTTAAAACATCTGCAACATTTCAAAGCATTCTGGTTAGCAGATTAAAAATTAAATTTCAAAATGCTGTTTTATAATTTTGATTTTTTTTCCAAAAATCTGGACGTTTCGGGTGAAAAGTCGATTCAGAGTTGTAAACTACATGTGTAGGACTATGTTATTTTATACAATTGAAAACCCATTTACTATGTACAATTTTGAAGTGACGTCATCGCTTTAGTGGTGGGGATGATTCGACAAATTTTGGTTAGCGTTTTACCATCTACATGATATTCTTAATATAAGTACAAAATTTCACAACAATCGGTCGAGTACTTTCGGAGATTATCTGTCTAATAAAAATCCGTGACAACAGACGGACAGACGGACAGACGGACAGACGGACAGACGGACAGACAGACGGAAATGGGAGACCTATTTCTTCGTCTTCTAGGGGTCATGAAAGATCGAGAAAACGTAAAAGTAGAGAGTCGGCCGACGGACTCGATTACAATACTTCCTTTGCTTACGCTCGGGAAGTAAAAATATCTATGGTAAATAAGAAGTGCATATCAACAATGTCACTATTTCGGGATTAAATAATGTACTATTATGTTCTCAATGAGCCATACTAATTTTTTATTTCCCGAGCGTAAGCAAAGGAAGTATTGTAATCGAGTCCGTCGCCCGACTCTCTACTTTTACGTTTTCTCGACCTTTCATGGCTCCTAGAGTACGAAGAAATAGGTCTCCCGTTTCCGTCTGTCTGTCCGTCTGTCTGTCCGTTCCGGATTTTTATTAGACAGATAATCTCCGAAAGTACTGGGCCGATTGTTGTGAAATTTTGTATTTATATTAGGAA